TATGAAACTTTCACGATCTATAGAGACCCGTATTTCCTAAAGATGGTGAAAGTTCCAAATTGCTACCAGCTTCGATTTGGAAAATACGAATTTTTAAACAAGAGGCTGTAGTTACGTTAAAACATCAATTTGCAGGCGGATATTTACGGAAAAAATCAGGATTCTGGATCATTTTTATGATACTCTCAAGATCCAAATCAAATTCATTCCTGCGTTTCAGTCATTCATTGTCTCTATTTATCAATCAAAATACAACAAGCTGGTAAAAACCAGAACATTCGGTGATTTTTACGAAACTTTCATATGCTTGAGAAACAATTTCCGTTTAGAACCGGTGAAAGTGTCAACTTGCTACTAGCTTTACTTTGGAAAACGCGAATTTTTAAACGAGAGGTTGTAGCTTAGGAAAAGCATCCGCTTATAGGCCGGCATATCCTAAGCTGGCAAAATCGAGAATTCTCGACGATTTTTATGAAACTCTCCAGATCGTTAGAAGCACCATCTTTCTTAAAGGTCTTGAAAATTTCAAATTGCTACTGGCCTTAGTTTATAAAATACAAATTTTTCAACGAGACGACGCATTGGTGTAAAAACATCCGTATGGATTCTAGTTTTTAACAAGCTGGCAAAAATCAAGGTTCCGGGAGCTTTTTATGAAAATTTTTAGATCTGTGGAATGGAGTATCGACTAAAGATACTGAAATTTTCCTTGCGTTAGTTGCTGCAGTTTGGAAGAAGCAAATTTTTAAAAGAGAGGGCGCAATTGAGTTTTTGAGTGATCAATTTTGAGACCGATATTTGCTTAGCTGGGAAAACTCAGGATTCGGTGCCATTATTATGAAACTCTCAAAATCTGTAGCATCACGTCTCAGTTAAACATGCCAACAGTTTCAAGTCGCTACCTGCATTCGTTTGGAAGATGTAATTTTTTAGAAAAGAGAGCGCATTAAGGAAAAACACCCAACGTGCCACCGATATTAATCTGGATCTAAGCGTTCCGAAATTTTATGAGGAATTGTCACCCGCGATAAAAGATAATCGTTTTCTGGCTATAAGTAAAACTAATAACGAAAAAAGCTATAAACAACACGGCACATTTTTGGGGCATTTTTCCTAAAACTGAGCAAGTAAAAATAATGCTGGAACAGGTTAGAGCCCATTAGCGGGAATATAAAACCCAAAGCAGATAAATTTAACGAGTTTGCCATAATTGTGCTTCGCTCTGATTTACTGCTCTCAACGAAACGGGAATTGTGACAAATTTCAGCAGTTAATTTGGTTTAAAAGTTGATGGAACTTGAACCATATTTTACATTTCTTAAATTATGAAACCCTGTTTGGCGCTGAAATTTCGGGTTGACTTCCAAGACGGAAAATTAAGTTAATTTAAAAAAAACGTTTAACTATATTAAAGCTTCCAATTGCGCTCGTTGAGCGTTTTTTTGGCAAACAAATTCAGTTTATTTGCTCCTCTATTGGGGTCGTTGAAATGTATTGAACGTGTCGAACTCGCGAAAGGAATTTTCCTCGACTTGATATTCCATTGGCACAATGCCCATATAGAAAAGGGGCTCTTAACCTGTGAATGCCATTGAGGATTTTCCCATAATGTTCTCCTAGCGAGGAAACAGGAAAAATACTGTTTACACGTAATTCGCTTCAGCGAGCGCACTTTTATGTCGCCGGTGTTTTATGGTGATAGCGACTAATATCTATTGTCAGCAAACGACTCTCAGGTGTTAAACGAGCCCTAAAATCCCTGGGAATTGAACGGGAAAGTCCTAATTTTCACTGTAAAAAAATCAATTCATTCTGAACATTTTCCAGGTGTAGCCCAACGAAAAAGCCAACAGGTTTCAATTTAATACGAGCTTGTGATGCGGAAAACGCACAATACCAAACACGCTCTATTATGAATGTCCCATTTCCCTTTCATAGTCAGCAATTGTATTTTACATTCACACCAGTAAATTTTGCAAAATTGGGTGTAAAGCTTCATATTCATCCCTGATGAGAGAAAATGCCTGGAAAATGACTTCCGGTTTATCTGGCTATAAAGCAGCTCTTTTCAGTGTTATGTGTTGTTCCCACATGAACTCCGGTGTAAAAAAATGCAAAAACGTTTGTTGAAAGTTGCTTACTTCCCTAGATAGTTAATTAGCGAGCAAAGAGGCTGAACTTCTAAAATAACAAATTCCGCTTGATGAAAACTCGTCAGACCGGATTAGAACCCCGCAATGCTAAACTGAGCCCCTGAGGTGTTCGAAACGGGAATTTCATAAAGATTAGCCTTGAAAGGAAATTGGTTTAAACAGAGTTTTAATAAGATTGCGCCAAATCCCTTTGAAGACTAATCGCGTAATTTATAAAAAGGTTTTATGAAATATCATGCATGCCACACAGCACACGTTTAGTTAATGATCTAAATACTTGCAGGTAGACGTGCTTAAAAGCTGGACGCAATTATAAAATAGCTGCAAGCCTTTTGCCGGTATGTTTGTTTTAAGTGGGAGCCTGCACATTTAAATAAGAAATTCAAGGAATGCTCCAATTAACAATGTTATGCGGTTATACACAGAAAAGATTTTTTATAAAAAGGTTTGCTGGTTGGTCTTAAGGCTTTARCGGGGATGCGTTTTGTGAGTTGATGTGTAGGAGCGCCAAATACTTTATAATTTCTAATTCAAATTCATTCCTGGGTTTCAGTCWTTTATTGTCTATATTTATCWATCAAAATACGTTTCGGTCTATTTTTCCACCATSATSAGTKTTTATGTGKARMRWTRYWSCTGMTTTAACGTATTTTGATTGATAAATAGAGACAATAAATGACTGACACCCAGGAATYAATTTGATTTGGAATTGAAACASAGTCAGGAAAGTATATACAATGATTTATAATTTCTGAAGCTTTTTCTTCATTTTCTTTTGCTTCACTGATGTCTTTCCTATAACCAGTAAAAAATGCAAGTCGCAGCAACTAGAATAGAAATTACGATTTTCTATTGGAGGCCCTGCTGTTTTGAGAAGCTGAAAATCAAAATTTACAAAGCCCGCATAAAATAACTTCGAGCCTGATTTCAATGAATTATTGCCGGTTTGTAGAGTTAGGTTTCTTCCATCGGAGGGCAAAATTTCAAGTCACAACTTGCTCTACATTAAAACTTACAATTTTTTGATTGGATGGTCGGCAATCGACTGTTTCAAGATGTATAAAGCATGCACAGATGCGATATTGAGAATTTTTATCGTAAATTGTCCTCTATAGGATGTATAAATGTCGAGTTCTCTCATTATATAAACTTGATTAAAACGATACAGAGAATTTTTCATGATTAAAGCAGTTACGATCCATAACTAAGTTTTTTCATCTAAAAGTTCACTTGGCGTGGCTTTCGGATTTCGTGGGCTTCTGGTTACTATA